AATAAATCAAAATATTTAGTTAAAATCCTTTTAACTAATTAAGCAATTAATTAATAGGTTGGGCCACTTCAATTGGTTGGATAGAAAAGCCTTAGAAAAAGCACACCAAACAATTTATGAGGTGTTTGATTTATGGATTTCAAGGGAATTTTGAGGAATCATAATGTAAATTCGGTAAAAATTGTGTTTGGTTGATAAAAAAAAAATAGATTCTTTAGAATCGTTTTGATTCCATGTAAGAAGTAATTGGTCATTCTTATGTTTTATTATTATGACAAAAATATCCACCCATCTCCCTTATATTTTAGTTATAATTCATCAAATAAAAACATATTATCATTATCTCTTCGTACAACCCATATATTCAACCTCTTACCACACACTACCTCACCTCAACAACAACCCATTCACCACACACCTACCCCACCTATATCCCCACACTCATAAAATGTAACCCGTAAAATCTTGGATTTATAAGGACGTACGGAGTCGAAAGGGGAACGAGGAAAAAGATTGGTGGTACTGCCAAGGTGACAGATCCGAGAAGGTGGGGGAACCGCAACTCTGGCATGTGGCGAGTTACTAAACTCGTCAATATATATATATATATATATATATATATATATATATATATATATATATATATATTACCCCTCTTTCTAAACTCTATATGTCACTCCTTCAAAGTTATAGGTTGTTGTATGTCATGCACCAAAATAGTTTTGTATTTTTTTAGTATTATGAATTAATTTTGTAGATTTTAGTTAGTTTGTATTTATTTTACAATTAAAAATTTGAGTTGGTTGGAAGGGATGAAAATATGACTTTCTATGGGTAAAAGTGAGAAGAGTATGATAGTGATGTGATAAGTGGGTTGACAGATGATAGAATAATAGGTATTTTTTGTTGGAATACATGTGCAAGGTCATAACTAAACTTGTTTAAGTCAAAACTAAATTAGTATAACGTTCTATTATAGTAATAAATGAAGATTTTTTGTCACATGTCACACTCTTATTATTTTGACAAATGTATTGTGGTTATTTTGAGTTAATTTTTTTTCCACATGTCATTTTATGGGTTTTCATATTTTATTGAATTTCATATAATATTTGAATATAATAATTGCAATATTTGTAGTAACAATGGATCTTAATTTCAGTAATGGACTTACCTTCTAATTTTAAAATTCTCAAATTAAATCTCATTAGTTTCTTTTGTTTATTTATTTAAATTATTTGTTTAAATTTAAAAGATAAAAAAATATTTCAATGTTAATAATTCATTATTCTTCTTATTTATCTTGTCAAAATCCAAAAACCATGGATCAAAATCAAAATACTCCACGTTAATACCCGAATATGTAATCACCTCAAGGTGGTTTTTATGAACTTGCTCCAAAGTGGTTCCCCAATCCCAAAAACAAAACTTTTTCAACAATCATACCAAGATTTCCCAACCTATCAACAACCCTATCCACAACACTTCTAATCCGCTTTCGTATACCAACAACTTTTCCAAACACAACATTCACAACGACAACCTTCAAAAAACACAACCTTCACCACCATATTTTTCATCATCGGATTCACCGGATTTTGTAGTTGAAATACAAGTCGAACAACCCCGACCAAAAAAGGAAGAAAGGAAAAAAATCGCTAAAACCACCCAAAGGAAAATGTGGCATGAAAAAGGGGAAGAAGTGAATTTAGTTCAAGCATCAACTTGTTTTTTGGGAAAAAAAAGTTTGAACCATTTTATTTGATTTAATGGGACATGAAAGCCGAAATCCGACCAAATTTGTTCGAAGTGGCATGATTCGAGATTGAAATGTACGGAATTTTCAACAATCTCACCAACTTGCATAAAATCGGGTCAAACGATGTTGAAGTTTTTGGCGCGGCCATTGAACAATATGAAAAAACAACACCAACATGCAAAATTTTTCCATATATCGAACCTTGCCTAAAGTTGAACGATGTCTAAAAATGGAAACGTATGCAAGAAACACCTTATTCCGGTTTGACGCGTTCAAGAAATATCGGTGGAAGTACACGTTCACAACAATCCGAGGGCTAAACACACATCGACATCAATGATGAGCCGGTGGATGTTGAAGATGAACAACCTATATTAGGGTTGTTTGTTTAGATGGATCAGTTCGATCTGATCCAATCTAGTCTCTCCAAATTGATTTTCGTTTTCAAAACATTGATCCGAATAGTCTAAACAAAATTCAAATCCGATACGATTTTACCCAAATTACAATTCGGTTAAATCGGTTTTTATACTTCAGTTTTAAAAAACGGAACATTTTAAAACAAAATACAACTAGAACATTATCCAATCTTGTAAAAGAACTACTAAAAAATATATTATAGTTTAATATTTTATATAAAAACTTTTGAGATAAAATGCATATTAAGGTTTTTACGGTGAAACTTTTAAATCTATTTAAAAAATTAAATTTAATAAATAGTTATAGATATATATTTAAAAAAAATAATAAATTATTATTTTGTTTTTTTGGACTATTCGATTTCTATTTTATAATCCAAAATAATTATTCGTTTTTTTTAAACTAATCCAAAAATCCGAATAGTCGAACCAGATAGTCTAATCCAAATTGTTTAATTGGACAATCCGGTTTTATCCAAATAGTGAACAACCTATCCTCTACGTCGACGATAGGAATAAATAAAGCAAAGAAAGCGGCTTCTGGTTCGAGTTCAAAAAATTTAGGTTCTAGGATTATCGATTATTTTGAAGAAAATTTTGATTGATATATCAAACTACAAAGAAAACAAAGTTGTGATAATGAGTCGTGTGAAACAAAAAATTGTCATAAAGGAATGCCAATGTGGAAGTTTCATTTAGGGCGTAAATTTGAAGATATTTGTTATGATGAAAGAATCAATTTTGAACGAGATATAAATATTGGGATCAATTTTTTTTTAATGTTTGAGATTTTTATATTAGTTTTTTTTCAGTTATTTTTTTCAAAATTTAATCAATGTATTTTTTTTAATTTTAACTAGATTCCTAACCCCCCGCTCCGCGGGGGCAGAGGGTATCAGAACGTCATTACAAACATTAATAAGTGTAGAAGACGATTAATATGCTTATAGGGTGAATATTAAGTGATAAAGGTTGTCGATTACAAAAGAGTCTGAATGACATTCGATTACAAAAAGTGTAAGAAGTGTTTCTTGTTCATGGTGTGCGGTGGTCTTCAATGATTTTGTTGCAGATGTCTGTTGCCGCACTCATGTTGTCCTGCATGCTTTGGAAAATGTCCAGCATCAGCACAGTGTCCTTGTCGAGGTCATTGATGAGCGATTCCGTGATCACAACATGTCTGTACGACATTTCGTCGGGAGCTTCTTGTATCATTTTCTGTCTTGACTGGTTGATGCTGGTGAATGTGTTATGGACCAAGGCTAACGACTCTTTCATTGTTTCCAGCTGGTTCTGTAGTTTCTGCATAATGGCTTCCATATTTTCTGTGTTGTGTTTGTTGGTGAAGCCGATGAGTTTACTGTGGGATTTTATAATGGAGTATTGTGGTTGTTGGATGGTATTAATTAGGGACAATTGATTACTATTCTGGGAAGTAATGGATATAGGGTGGCTGCTGTGACCTTTTTTTTTCCTTTAATTGATAGATGTGATTGTTGGTTTTGTGTGTGGTATTCAATTAGCAATATCTGCCTAGATCTTTGACTGCATGGGGTCAATTTTAATAACTTACCATTAATTGAGTACATTTCTTTTGGTACTTACATTTGCGTTGATTGGTATGTTAGAGAGCATATATCTGTGTATGATTATCTGTTTCAATTGTTTATTCACTTCTCTCATTTCTTTGTTCAGGTTTAAATAGAATAATATTTTGTAACAATTTGTTTTTCTTACAGGGTATATTTGTCTTTTTGTCCAAAGTTGTTTTTAGGTCGGGAATAATTGTGTTGTTGTATATACGTGAGTTATTAATTAATAGAGGAAGGAAATAAATTTTTTCTTCTAGGACAAGCATGCAAACAGTGTGACTAATTATAGTTTCGGATAGCAGGATGTTGCGATGGAGTGTTTATACATAGGATACTTGTTTATCACATTTGTTACAAAACGATAAAGATATCATTCGAAACAAAACATGGGGTTGAAAGTGCAGCTTTGTGGTATTTACTATTTGCTGCTCTGTTTTTGATTTTTTGCTGGTGGTGGGTCTGCCCATAGGTGAATTGGAAAAGTGTTAGCATTCGTTGTGGATAATATTTTTTTATCTTAGATATTGGTAGATTGGGTTATTACCTGGTGGACTGAAGGTGAGAGCACGTGCGATGGATTGAGGAGTTATGTCTTCTTCGGTTGATGTGTTATCTTTTCGCATTCTTGTCATCCGTGATAGGGTTGGTGTTGTCGGAACAGGTGGCTCTGGTGTTGTTGTTGGGTCATGGATGTCAATTATTATGAAGCGGATGTTGTCAGGTGCTGATGCCCTCAACATTTGGATAAACATTGTTTTTGTTTGTTCTTTTTGATCAGTGATGATTGCAGGCAGTCTGTTTCTGTTTGTGTGGGGGTTGTCGGATATGTATTTGTCAAGTGATGACTTTAACAGCTTTCGACATGATGTTTCGGATACAACTGCAGGTATGGTGTCTGTAGTGTCGGTAATGGTTACTGTCAATTTGTACCTATGGATATAGAACGGTTGTAAATCGTGTAGTTGGTGAAGAATTGTTTTTTGTTTGATTGAGTATATACTTACGTGTAGTTTGGTTTTTCAGTCAGCCCATGTGCACTACAATACCAGTCATAACCTCTTCTGAAAATCGGATCTTTGCAGATCGGACATGTTGCTTGGTACCAGGTGTTTTGGAAGTGAAAGTCCTTGATTGAAGCTTGTACCATGAATGTTTTATCCTATAGGCAAAGGTGACCTGGTTGTGGGAGTACAAAATGGTGTGTATTTGTAAAAAGTTGTATTAGTGCTATCATCTTACCAGCAGATCAGATCGGGTTTTCAGTTTCATGTCATGTAAGGTTGAGGGGGTTCCAGATGGTGCCGACACTGGCCTTGAGGGTCCTGTGAATCTGAGGTCGTATACGTGTTGGTATATGATATCGATGATATGAAGGATAATATTGTTCTGTAATGTATGTCACTTACAAATTAATCAGTGTTGTTGTCTCCGGTATATCTGGATTCACATAGATATGTGTAGCATGTGATGACCCATGTCGTAATGCTCCTGTATGGAAGTTAGTTGGTGATTAAGGCATCAGAGGATACAGTGTCATAGTCATATTACATATATATATATATATATATATATATATATATATATATATATATATATATATGCTAGTATGTAGAAGAGGATATCATTAGATTTCGATGGTTTTAGGTTTGTTACTGCAACAACGGTTAGCGTAGCCGCATGATCCAGGGCGGCACGGTTGAATTTCTATGGATTTGTTATGCATTCTCTCCATAGATTGATTGCGAGGTCACTACCACTATTGAAATTTTGGTTGTTTTTGGTGTTAAACAGTGATGTTAGAACTTATAACTGTAGTTTGATGGTTATTATATATACCTTTCATCTGTGAGAATAAGTAAGACAAACGGTTCCTTATTTGTTTTCGTGCAATCTCTTATCTTTGATAGAACACCAATGAAGTCTGTTTAGAAGGAAATATAAGTATGTAAGAAGTACTGGTACTATGAAGTTGTTTATTGTGAAGAATACCTGGATAATATGGTGGTGTTTCTCCGAGTTCTATCAGATGCGACTTTGAAACAAAGCGAAACAAGTTTTTTGGAATTGTTGTTGTGTCTGGAATTGGTTGTATGATAGACTTCAGACCGACATCTATGTAGATGTCATTTTCAAGAACCTTTTGATACTTGTCTAACGCTGGGCAGCTGTAATCAGATATGACATAACACTCTGAAACATTAAAAATGGATTCAATGTAGCTCTGATTTGTTCGCTGTCCAAGAATTTGAATTGCATCACCCTGTACGAACGGATTATTATAGTGTTATAATCAGTGTTATTAGGTGTGTTTTTGGGGTTAGGTAGTCATATTATCTGGTAATCGTATATGTTTTTTTAACAAAGAAAGCAGTTCTTTTCATCAATATTAAAAGGCAATTGGTAATGATTTGGTTGATATGAAATTTAATTGCATGAAACTTCATGTTCGGAAACTGTTTTTGTTGTATTCTTATAAACAGGCATGGCATGTTGGTTGGTACATATTTCATTTGCTGAAAAATTTTCAATTTTCAACCCATTTTGTTGTCATATGTTTTGGTAGGAACTTACAAATCTGTCAACAGCCAGGTACCAGGTTTCATATTGGCGGACATCGTGCTTCCATTTGCGTAGAATTCTAACCTGTAAGGGCCCTCCGATACCTTCAGCTTTGAGTTCTGAGATACTCGTCATCATTTGTGTGGTCTCTCTAATATAAGAAAAGATATGGAGGTCAATAGTATATCCAGGTGAATATAAAAAAGTGAATAAACATGTAAAGAGTTTTGGAATAGCAAAGAATGTATGAAAAAAGTAAAAAGTAGTAAGGTTCATGAAAGGTAGGACAGGTAGTCATACTGTAGACCTCGATTGAAGTAACTTTCTGCAGTAGATCTTTGAAGACAACATTTTTTGTTATGTTGGTTTTCATTGTGTCAGTGTTGTTTATTAGTATCTTTATGGAATCCGGTGATGTTGCTCGGGAAAGGGCAACGTAAAGTTGTCCGTGTGCGAAGACAGGCTGTGACAAATAGATACCAATTTTACGTAGTGATTGCCCTTGACTCTTGTTGATAGTCATTGCGTAACAAACTTTAACTGGAAACTGTTTTCGCGAAAAGATGAATGGCAGATCTGATGACTTATGTATGAACTTTATGCGTGGTATATATACACGTTTTCCGATGGATGTAGCGGTTATGATTGTGGCTTCGATAACAGTTGGTAACAATTGTGACACAATCATACGGGTACCATTACATAAGCCTTCTTTTTTATTTATGTTTCTTAACAACATTATCGGACAGTTGACCTTAAGTAAAAGGTCGTGTGGTGGTATTCCTGGAAAGCTTAGTTGGTTTAGGTATTCAATTGGATAGAGCCCCTCCAAATCCGATGTATGTTTTCCATTTGGCTGCATGGAGTCTGTGCTATTGTATACCTTCACAGCTGTTGAGACCATTTCTAAAACATGAGTGTTTATCTCATCTGCTGAATCGTTTGTGGGACAAACTATTGCTCTTGCTGAAAGGTCTCCTGCAGTCGGCTGATTAAGTGTACCATCCCCATACACAAAATCTATTAAGGTTTGCAAAGAATTGGAGGAAGGTGAAATTAGAAGTGAAGGTGGAATTTGTATCCAATTTGTGTCCCGTGGGTCATCTTTGTCAGGTACACCTATAAGTCCATTACCAATAGCCAACAGCCATGTGGCAAAATCCGATGAGGACATTGTATCGTGAGGTACTGCATCACGGAACTCTAGTCTCATGTTCGTATGTAAGAAGTGAATACTAAAGTATGTCCATAAATACGAACTTGGTAGAGTTAATGCTATGATTTCGGAACGTGTACTCTTTGGTAGAACAGGAAGAGTTTGGCGGAAATCACCACCAAGGAGTATAGATATGCCTCCGAATGGTTTTTCATCGCAATCCAGGACATCTCTAAATGAACGGTCCAAAAATTCAAAGCACCTTCTGTCACTCATCGGTGCCTCATCCCAGATAATGAGTGTTGTATGCTGCAGAAGATCTCCAAGGAAGGTGCGTTTTTTTATATCACATGACTTTTTGTCGTTTAAATCGATAGGTATTTTGAACCTTGAGTGCGCAGTCGTGCCAGACGGTAACAAAAGCGATGCGATTCCAGAAGCAGCAACAGCCAAAGCAATCTTGCCACTCGACCTCAAATGTGAAAGAATAGTTGTCCACAAAAATGTTTTACCAGTACCACCGTGTCCATAGACAAATATTAGTGTTTGTTTTTTGTCTTGTATGGAAGTAACAACTTTGTTGTAGACTGATCGCTGGTCACCGTTTAGGTTTGGTAGGAGATCATTGTGATGTTTCAGTAGTGCTTCCTTGTCGTAGCTCATTTCTTCCAAGAGCAGTCGATTTCGTAGGACACCAATCATATCCATTGACGGAACTGGAAGGCCAAAGTCTGCCATCGATTTTGATGGGACCGCCGAACGAAGTGTATCTTCTAAATCATGAAGCAGTTGTTGTTCAACTATCTCTGCAACAGAAGCAACTATCTTATCTGGTATTTCAGTTGTGAGGCATGTAAATAGTCGTCTTTCATCTGATCACACACTGTATTCCACAGCGAAAGTGGATTGCTAACCTCACAGAATAACAGTAGATGACAGAAAAGCGATTGTAGTTGTGATGCAGTTGCCCAGACTGAAGCCTCTGTGAAACATGTCAACCACTCGATATCATCACCTATCAATCGAAGTGCATTACAGGCAGCTCTGAAAGTTGGGTAAACAGTACCAGAAACGGTACGCAAGTCATCAAACGATGTACATCCTTTCTGGTGACATAATAGCATCCGTAAGTAAAATAATTCCCCACATGTCGGATGTACAAATACAAGCCGGCCTACCGCTTTTGATGATTCATAAACCCGCCGACCCCAACTTTACTTGTTTTATCCCATTTGTAACTTTTTGGATAATCAAGATATGTCAATTCATGACCTTTAGGGTCCCTTGAGTTGCTTTCGAACCATCCAAGTAGCGTTGTTATGCTGGCAAATGGATTAGATAAAACCTCGGGTATGGAGCTGTCCCCTTTGAAGATCAATTGTTGCATGTTTTCTTCATGAACGGTTAGAATCTGAACAGGTGGATGTCGATGATGTATATTGAAGTCCAAAATCCGCCATGCTGCCTCATGTGGACATATATATCGCCCATCCAAAAAATTTTGGACTTCATTTATAGGACGACTATCTTCATTTGCAGATCTGTGAGAGCTATCAGTAGGCATTGAACTGGATGATCCATGGGAAGATTCTGCCTTTTGGATACAATATCTAACACAGTCTGGACCTTTAGAAATATACTTAAATAGGTACTTAATCATCATGCTCCAGCCACAGTACTCAACATTAATATGTGCACGGAATCGTGAAGAAAGCCTTTTGTTGTAGGGCACAATATATCCATTGTCAACAACCTGTCCATATTGGTTAGTGTAGTGCGCAGTTGAGCTACGTTTGTACCGTACATATCCATCTGTGTCAAAAAATGTAGCAGGAAGAAATGGCTTAGGGAAGTGTTTACTGCATTTACCATCTTTCATACATGGAGCCTTTTGGTTAAGTGGTCCACATGGACCATGGATCATACAGCTTGTTATCGTCTCGTATAATTCTGCCTCATTAACTGGATCTGGCAGTTCAGCTGTGATATACCTGTCAACATCACTTCCTATTTTTATCCGATCTGACGCTGACACCCACACCAAGGTATGACAATGAGGAAGTCCTCTTTTCTGGAATTCAATAGTATAGAGATCTGTGATAATGTAGAAATTAAATCAATTAACACTTGTTAATACATTTGCTATAAAAGACGATATAGGTATAAACAGATATTTTTTGTAAAGCATGAAATATTTATATCATAACAGACTGACAGCAGCAAATTTGTACAAACAGCCAACAATATTAAACTGTGAGAAAAAAAAATACTAAAAATGAACACATAAAATATACGTACAAACGTAACTCTTAAACAGTTATGAACCAAATATGGAAAAAAAACCGTAAAACAGGAATTACAAAAGGTAACGTAAAATGGAACAGCTACAATGAACAATCACACCATATTCCGTATAACACATGGAATCAAACTATAAAAAATTTAAGATAACGAATATGTCGTTACATTAAAATGCAGAGGTGATATCAATTGAGGGGTAATTTCGGAAAAACAGAGAAAATATTAAAGAAAATGCATATCTATCAGTAACCTACTCCAGAATAAACAGTATACTATATAAAAAGGGAATCAAATTTTCGTTAAACAAATGAAAATACAATACTTTCTACCATACAGGGGCAGCAGCAGCAAGTTATCGATAAATGGCTAATTTTAGAAAGACACATAATCTGTACTACAAACATAACATAGGAAGCTAAAAAGAAAATAACAACAACTAACAATAATTTTACATTTTGTTTTATTAATATATTTATAATTTTTAAAACGTTATTATTTTTGTATATACACATTCAACAAATCCTATTTATAAATTTACACAATTCGTTTACAATTGAACTTGATTCTCCAACCTATTGTCTGGAGTGACATCTTTCTAACATACCTAATACGACGAAAGGGATATTTTTTTATTTTGGAAAAGAAACCTTAGGGGCTGCAGCAGCAAGATATCAATAGAAGGGTAATTTTGGAAACACAAAAAGTCTGTACCACAAACGGATACAATAGGAAGCTAAAAAAATAAGTAACAATAACAAACAATAAAATGCAGAAGTGATATCAATTCAGAGGTAATTTCGGAAAAACAGAGAAAATATTAAAAGTACATATATATCAGTAACCTACTCCACAATAAATGGTATATTATATAAAAAGGGAATCAAATTTTCGTAAAACAAATGAAAATACAATACTTTCTACCATAGAGGGGCAGCAGCATCAACTTTATTGATAGAAGGGTAATTTTGGAAAGACACATAGTCTTTACCACAAACGGATACAATTTTTAGGAAGTAAAAAAATTAATTACAATAACAAACAATTGCATAGAGGGCTAGCAGAGTTAACATACCAATTCAGGGTTAATTTCGTAAAAACAGACACAATATCAGAAATACATATGTATAAATAAGCTAGTGAATAAGAAACTGTATATTATATTAAAGTGGAAATAAATATCCTTTAAACAAATGAAAGTATAATACACAACTGATCAGACCAGTGGAAACAATAGAAACGTGTAATTGTATGCCAACATATATATATATATATATATATATGAAAATCAGGAAGAAAGTCACAAATATGATATATATATATATATATATTATATATATATATATATATATATATATATATATATATATATATATATAATTAAAAGGAAAAGAACTGCAATTCAGTTGTAAAACACCAAATTAACATACACATAACATACACACATATATCTTAAATCTCACGATACACACATATATCTTAAATCTCACGAAATACACATAATACATATTGAAGGTAAAAGGGAAACCAAATGGAGAGCATACATGCTTCGACGACGCCAAACGTTTTGTCTTCCTTAAGAAACCGGATAAAGTCATGAACTTTGATATTGAAGACCCTAGCAATGACATCAGCTCTACTATGGGGGTCGGTCTGATGATGTGCATCCATATAGCGGGTGATC